AAAAAAGAAAAGAAAAAAATCAAAATTAAAAAGAAATCATATCAAATAAACAATTAGAAAATATGATACCAACAAGTACAAATAAAGGAAAATAAATGACAACAATAAGTATCAGAACAGTAATTTCTTGAAAAATCATTTAATAACAGTATTCTTTAAATTATTTTAAAAAATTTACAAATTGTGGTATATGTGGCGTTCCTCGAAGCTTTAGCATTACCTTTTGCTCCAATATCAATCGACCCGGTTCATGATCTTCCGGTTCAATTTTTATTGCCAGTACCGATTTGGTACGCTGAAAACTTAACTGGCACTATATAACCGTGCTTGTAACTGCGAAATACAGTTTTGAAATTTTTCATATTTCTACGGTAAAAAGTCTGTGAGATTATATACAGTAAAATGTTTCACGGTAAAGAGTTTATGAATATTATAATATCCATTACCTTCAAGATTTTCAAATATTTTAGTAATTTTTGACACAAAATTAACTAGCCCTTGTCACTCTCAATGCAAAATTCCAGAAAAGAATTTACTTCATCGATGACACGATAAATTTGACCAAAACCACCTCCACCGATCATTTTATCGATACGAAATTTGTAATCAATTATTTGTCCTTCTTTGAAATATTGCGGAGCATGACGTCCATGTGGTTGATTTCGTTTAATATACTTCAAATTGGCTTTATCCTATCATATTTTAAATTAACTAAGTTTGTGATCTTTTTAAAGTTCAGTTTTTATTAGAATTCAGTGTACAACAGTATGAATCATTTGACAAGAAAATTAAAGAGTAAATGATTTGCCAGAAGGCATTTTTAATGAACCATTTAATTGAGTGAATTTTGATACGATTACCGTTTCCGACAAATTTTGATGTCATTTAATATGTGATTAACTTTTTAAGTGCAATTAAGAAATAAAATTGAGTTTAACATCTTCCGATTAAAATCAGTATTTCCTATTTCAAATTAATCATTGTGTATGTACTCTTTTAATTCCTTTTTTTCACTTACTTTCCACTTAGATCGACCCTCATTTCTGATCTATATTGACTCTTTAACCTATTCCTAATCCAGATCGCTCTTTTTCTTATTCTCGATCCGGATCGTTCTTTCGAGATTTTCTTAGCTATTCAGATCTTTTCTCTATCTCTGACCCAGATCATCCTTTCTCCCATTCCTGATCTAGATCACCCTTTCTCCTATCCCCATCCAGATCGTCCTTTTCTCTCTTCCCGTTCCAGATTGCCCATTCCTTTCTCCCGATTCCGAATCGATCCAACTTCCTACTCTCTGTCAAGATGGAACTCTAAGTAAGAAAACATCTGATAATGAAGATTTTCTACAACACATTTGACAAATAATGTTACGATGCAAACCATCTACGAACAAATTTACCGCTTCTTCTTTCGGAATCACTTGAATATCGGCCATAATACCGTTTTTCTATTTCCGTTCCACTACAGTTATGCTAATCTCCTTTTTCTTCTTTTTAGTTGAATAAGCAACCAAATATGTTATTATCAGGAATTAAACTAAATAAAAGATTATCATCAGTTATGAATAAAAGTAGATCAGATATTGCAAATATTTTTTGAATACTGCTCACTCTCATCAGAATTGCTGTAGTTTAATCCCACTTTTACCAATTATTTACCATCTAAGCCATTTTCATCATGCATTAGCTCAATTCATGGTATCTATTAGGCTATCTCAATGTCACAGACCGTTTTAAAATATCCGGCCACCACACAGCACACAATATAAATAAAATGTCTGCTTATCCGAATTTGCAATTTATAAATTCTGAAATTGGAAAAAAGCATAAGTGAATAAATTTTCAATTTTAATTAAATGCTTTGAAAAAAAGAAATGTTTTTTTATCACCAAACATATTTAAAGTAATATTTATGTCAGTGAGAATATCATAACAGTTTGAATCACATCAAATCTTCATTTTATTTTGAATTCAACTGAAAAAGGGAAAAAAAAAATCGCTTCCCAATTGTTATTCAATTATCATATCATATCATATCGTTGAAAAGACATTGGAAGTGAACAAATTTTCGTGATGTAAAATTGGACAAAGCTTGACAAAGATGGACAAAACTGAACAAAATCTTTTTATTCCATTTTTCACTTTACAACATTGCTATTTAAAAATCATCATTCCAACTAAATTGGTGAGTTGGCACAAATAGGAGAAATAGAAACTTTTGATTGCAAAATTTACATTAATTTATCAGAATTTGAAATATTTTCCTGATCCCATTGGAGATGCGCAATAAAAGTAATGAGTATAACATTTTTTAAAGCAGTTTATATTTCTCTTTGATAAAAATTCGTTAACTGCGACAATTGCTATTTTAGTTATAAAGTATATGTATTCAAGGTTAATCTATAATTATTTGAAATTTCCGATCAGAGAACGATTTTTTTTGCACTCAGTACAGAGCTTTATTAAAATGTGTGAATGAATGCGTTTGTTAATTTTGCATGTCATTTTTTGAAATTATTAAAAAAGTAGCATTCTTTTTTATATGAATTAAATATACACTGTTTTCCAATAGTAATTAGAATTATCTTTAAAAAAATAGCAATGATAAAAAAATAAATCAAAACATTTCTTATTTGCATCAGTTTGTCCAAAAAGTGTAGCAAACTGATTTGTAAGATAAACATTATTTTTCTTTTCAATTGTGGGATTTATTTATTCTAATCCCTATTTCCTATCATCAAAGATTTTAACTCGGTAAAATAATTTGACCAGGAAAAATTCAACAAACTTTACAGCTATTAACATCTTTAGTATAAAAAACTTTATCAAAACATCTAATCATAGTTTAATTTACCTTTTTTGTTAAAGCATTTTTTTTTTCCTTTTTAACGTAAACAATTATATTGTTGTATTATCAACTTTTTTTGTTTGAGGTAATTTGAATAACAATATTGAATGATATTTTGATACAAAAAAAACAGACATATACTATAATTTATATAGTTTCATTATCCAATTTTTTGGTAATTTTTATATCAAAATCTGTAATTTAAATCAAATTTTGTTAAATTTTCCATCAAACATAAACAAATTTTAATAGTTCATTCGGTCAAACATAAACTAATCTTGATAATTCTTCTTTGATTTATTGTCACACGCAAACTGTTCCGGACAATTCTCGAATTGTTGAAGATGGATGAGTTGAACAAGTGAGCGCTTTATCATAGCTTGGCAGTGGTGGCACTTCATCATCATCCAATGGACTAGCATAGCATGAGCCTTGTGAATCACACTTGATCATATATGGCTTACTGTAATCAATTGGAGCTGGAACATTGATCGGATTAACGCCTGAAATATTTGAACCTTATTTAATCTTCAGTCCTATTTTCAGAAATACTAAATTTCAGTAAAATAAATCAATGGAGTTTAAAATATGGAACATTTTAGAGCTTGAAAATTATCCAAAGCTATAAATATACTAAAATGATAGCTAATGCTAATTGATTTATAATAAATAATGCAAATGATTACTTGAATGAATATATAATGAGGCTAAATGCAAATAACTTTTTTTATTAATCAAAAAAACGAAATTTCTTTGAATTACTTTTAATTTATAATATGCGCTTTTTTCCATGAAATTTAAGACACTGGAAAAAAGTTTCATTAAAAACTATATGCTAGTTGAAAAATACTTTACCATTAAGGCTATCAGTTCCATTTTGATCGATACTTCTTGAATGTGCACAACAAGTACATGTCCATAGCAAACAAACACCACTAATTATGATGCAAAATGAGATAAATTGGCAAACTATCTGGCAGCCTACTAAATTACAAACAAAAAAAAAATCCATAAAATGAAATTGGAAGGAAAATTTTAAAAATATAAAGTAAACAAATAAGTCAAAGTAAATAAATCTAAATTTTTCACGTAAGCATATTTTTAAAAAATTAAAGTGGCATTTTTTATTTACATAAACTGTTGAAATTACTGCGTCAATTTCCAATGATACGTCATGACAGTAAAACGCTTAGAGCGATTTGTAGGAAAGGATATAATGTTAGCTGTTTACAACGAAGATCTCAAGACTTCTGATAATTTCTTCTTAATGTACTCGTTTGTTACAGTTTTTGTTGTTAATCTATACTGTAAGAAAATGATTTCAATCTTTTAATTTTTCCAGAAAAACGAAAGTTTCAAAATGCATAGATTATCATAGATTATCCATAATTGCTAAGGTAAATTACCAACAAGCATATTTTTATGCAATTACAACAATTATGCTTTTTTCTTAATTTCATTTCAAAAAAAAAATAACAAGAGAATACCCACTTGCATTATTTTGATAAACATAATTGTTAGTGGTAGCAAAAATATTTGGATAAGCAATTTTTCGTTGTGCTAATTCCAAATGTCTCCATAGTATTCCTTCGAAAATTTCTCGAAATTGTTGCTCCGAAATATTTTGAATACTTTCTTTTGAATCATTGAAATAAACTTGATCAGCAATTTTGATAATTTCATTATCGTTCAATGTATACAATGATTTATGACCAGTCATTGTTAAATTCAGTTTAATTGATTCATGCTGAAATCAAATAAATTTCATTGTCTATTTGTTATAATTTTATGGAAAAAAGTATTGGATTTTTTTTCTAAGCTTAAAACAGTAAATTTTTAAAGCAATAAATAAATTAATTTTTGTAGTTCAATTTCAAACTTAAATAAAATTCCTCGAATTCTTAGAGTTTCTCAATATTATACTTTATTTTCAATTGATAACAATGCATTAGACTGATTTATTTGCATTTTTTTTCTTAAAGTTATTCTTAAAGTTATTCGCAATTTTTTCTCTTAAAGTTATTGTTTTTTCTTAAAGTTATTCAAATTTTGTAGGATTCCATTTAGTGAAATGCATGTTACAAATAGTTGACTCGTAATGAAACAATTTTTAATTACTTAAAGCAAATTAAAGTTCAGCTAACTTATGGCAAATACAAGAAGGATGAACCTTTTCATTTATTTCGGAGGAATTAATTTTTTTCGATTCAATTAAATCGCATTAAAAGTTTGAGCTAATTTTACATTTGAATGAATGAAACTTTGTTTTTATTCTTTTAAATGTCAAATTTTTGGGCAAATTCAATTGTTCCTTTTTGTGTTACTATCTTATTCTTCATATGCAGTAACTCCTTTTTCATTTCTATATTTATTGTGAGTAAATGTGTTGAATATTGAAATTTGCTTTATCATTTTATCAATCTAATCTAAAAGATTGATGGTAAAATTTACATCATCTTTCGGGTGAGTATCACTGCCGATCTTTGTAATTTTCACCGATGTTGATTGTTGTTGTTGTTGTTGTTGTTGTTGTTGAAATAAATGCTTCTCAGATTCAATGATAGCAATTAATTGTTCATAATTAGAAGAATGCTTACTCCAATTCGAAAGTAAAGTAAATTCAGTGGAGAATGGTATAAAAGAGAATATTATTAGTGAAAAAATAGTAAACATAGGAAGTGCAGGATTTCTTATAAACTTATAAGCGTAAATACTTCAGGAAATGAAGCATTGAAGCAACATTAATATATATGCTTCTATTTTAGTCTTGTCTAAAATTGAAATAATATTAATTTGATAGAAAATTAAATAATATTCCCAAAATTTATGCTCTACAAGAAGTAGAATATTATTTGAATAAAGATGCCATGATAATTTAGTTTAAAATCAAAAAAAAAAAAAAATGATATAAAAAAGCAGGGTTAAATGGATAACAAAACATTTACTACAACTGAATAGCAAAAAACTTCAATTAGCAAATACATCTAATTTAATGGATAATCAGTAATGATAAATATTCAAAAAACAAAATGAAACGATCAGACTAAAAAGAATCGATAAAACACCAAATTGTAACAGTTGCAGTAAAAGATTGAAACTATTGAAAATGTAAAAATGTTTCAATCGATCATTAGCGATGAAGAAATCTTTCTAGAAAAATATATTACTGATCAATTAGAGAATGAATTAAAAATAAATGTTTTTATTATTATATAACATTTTCAGAGGAACGATGCGAAAAGATGAAAATGAAAAGGATGAATGTCAAAAAATTGTGGAAAAAATTTATTGGAGAATAATTGAATTTAGTAACATCAGAGTAAATGAGATGATTCAAGCTCGTTGCTATACTCAGTGCTATCAATTGTCCACCTTTTTCCATCAAAATCATCAACATCAGCCTCCATCTTTCTCAATCAACAATAACAAAACAACAACAACAACAACATTATCCATCCTTTTCAATCACCACCACCAACAACAACAACAACAACAACATTGTCCTTCTTCTGCAACCAACAACAAACAATAACGCTGTCCACTTTCTGCAACAACAGCAACAATAACAACAATATTGTCCACCTTCTGTAACCAATAACAACAACACTGTCCACCTTCTGCAGTCAACAGCAACGACAGAAACATCGTCACCTTCTGCAACCAACAACAACAAAAACAACACAACAACAAAACAATAACACTGTCTTTCGTCGATCGACACCTCCGTCCATCTTCTTATATTAATTTGAAATGAACATTATGTTTAGAAATGTGAATGTGCAAAGTTAAAAAAAAAATGTGTCAAATTTAGTGGGTTCAGTGTACCTTTTATATAATTCTAATTTTTCATTTTTATTGTATGAATTATTACTCATAAAAAGAGACCCTTTTACCTGTATATTAAAACAGGTAAGATATCATAAATACCACTTTTATCAGGCATCAATGGGCAAACATTTATTATAAATAATAATTCTCTTATCCTTTTTCATCTCTCTTCCTTCATTCTTACAATATTAGACAAAACATTAAATGAAAAAAATTATATTTTTTTCACTTTTGGGTAAGTTTTTTTTTCAAGAAAGTAAACAAATATGCCATCAATTATAAAATACTGAATATGTAATTATGTCAAAATGATTTAAGACATAAAAAAAAAGACTTTCAATTTCTTTCATTTCAATTAACTACAAACAAATGCTGAATAAGAAAAATGTGAACAAAAGAATTATTAATCAAAAAATTTGAACAGTTACTTTTATCTTTTTTACGTATTTCTCAAAGGCAAAAAAAAAACCATTTGCTGAGGAGAAAAATTTGTTGGTATCAGTAAAGAAATGATATGATATCATTTCACGACGAAGCATCAATGATCAGTTTAATGATTGAATTGAAATTATTGAATAATATTTGGCTAATGAATAATTCATAATAAAAAATTACAGTACAAATATTTCTTCAAAAAAAAAAAGCAAATTTCTTTGAAGAAAACATTGAAGTGATCATTTCTCTCCAATATTCTCTTTAAAGTTGTCAACCAAAAAGAAAGCAAATGAAATAATTGATCGTTATTTGTTGGAATACCGATCATTTACGTGGAATTTTCCATATAATGTTTGTAAAATATCATAAAATGAATATTAATCATTTTAAAAGAAAAAAATCCAAGAAAAAAGAAAATATTTTGATTTTTCATTTTTTCTAACGCAATGAAAGTGTTTTAAAATGCAATAATATTTTGAGCAAAAAATTAATTTTCCAAAGAAAAAAAAAATGTTTAAGTGTTTAATTGTTGATTAAAAGTGGAAAGGAAAAATTAATAAAAATAACAGCATTTTTCCTCATTGTTTTTTCTTCTTTGCATAAATGAATAATTGATAAAATTTTATAATTTCATAAAAATGTCTTAGCATTTTTGAAGCCAAAAAAAGTGTCGAAGAAATTTGAACAATTTTGATAAAACAAGATAGAACGAAAAAGAAAGAGAAAGAAAGTAAATCAATGGTCCAATAATAGACAATTTATTGTTACACTATAAAACTACATTGACAACGATTGCATTGAAACGGATTAACGAGTAATGAGTAATAATTATTTAAACTTTACATTTCGTTGACAAATAACAGTAAATTAATTTTTTTTTCTTTTTCAATAGACACTATCTTTATTTTACTTTTCCATATCATTTAACATATGATTAGTAATCAAGTGAACAGAATGAAAAAAGTATTATCATAATTATTTATCATAATTATCACATACATGTGATTATACATTATGTGTGAGCAATAACAAAAGTAGACAAATATATTTCTTCTCTTTTTCTTCTTATCTAATTAATACCCATAGCGAGAAAAGTTATTGATTTCAAACTTTTTTTTTTTTGAGAGAATAATAAAATAAATGAAAATATAAATGATAAAGCAAAAAAAAAAAGACAAACATCAAAAATCTGATTCTTTAAAGAAAAAAAGTATGATAAATTACGCAGTATTCTATAATGAATTTCTTTGTCATCTGTTCTGATTAATTTTTTGTTTATTGTAAAAAATTACAAAATTCTGTAATTGGATTTAAATTATTCCAATTTTATATAAATAAGCAAATTAGTGAGAGAGATGAAACGGAAGGATAGTAATAACAAAGTGATTGTCAATTTCAATTTCCGTTCATCAGATAAGCAAAAAAAAAAAGAAATTATTGGCAATTTTATTTATGGGAAAAAAACAACACTCTGTTTAACATATTCAAATATAATATTTATCAGTATTTCTAAAAAACACGGTTTTACTCTTTTGAGCAATTTACTCGAGCACTTGAATTCTTTTTCAAACGTGTAAAATGTTCATATACAACAGAAAAATAATTCTTCGAACAAAATTTCATATAGTAATAAAAGAAGGTTGCAAAGTTAGTGAAAAAATAAGTTAATAAATGGGTAAAGAACATAATTAAGTAATTATCAATTGTTATTTCAAAAAAAAACTCATTCAAAAAATGTTGTAAACAAATTTTGTGCATTTAAGGACAAGTTCAACAGAACGAAATTTTCGTATTAATTGACATTCCAATGACTTCTTGGCTATCTCTTAACATTTTAACTTTCACCAAAAATAATAATTAATGCATGCACTTTTTCTTCAAAAAAGAATGAACTGTTAGTAACTTTAATTATATTAATTAATTCAAATTGCAAATATTAAAAATTCATGAGAAATGACTGAATTTCTTTGAATTGCTTCACTAAATGTTTTAGGGAGAATTATTTGAGTTTTCTGTTTTTTTTTTGGACAACTAAAATTTGCCTGAAATTTCATTAATTCTATTCTAACGATTGGTCATCTAAGCTTAAAAAGAAAAAAAGTTTCTTTTATGAGAAATAATTGAATTGAGCGTCAAAATAATACACGCTAATTTCATCATTAAAATTACATTATTTGTTAGAAATTGAAATAATTTTTTATACATGCAAGCGAAATAATATTAATCATTAATTCATTTAACTCGCAGTAATTTAATTTATTAAAAATGTAAAAGTCATCTGAGCAAATATTAGTAGTTAAATATAGTTCAAAATTTTAAATCATTGCGAAATTTTTATAAAAATTAAAGCGAGTATCAATAATTACACAAACATGTATGCAATGACGAATCAAAGAGGAGATTTGATTGCTATGATTGTTTTGTTCAAAAGTTCAAATTTTTAAAATTATACCGATT